ACTATATTGCTGCATCTTCGCTCCATAAAGTGCCTTAGATTTTATGTTATCTATATTTCATTAGTATTTCGTGGCATTCATGTGGACGGCAAAGTAAGAATTTCATTGTACAGGGAAACATATTTCCTAACTGTGCATATGACAAACACTGAACTTGAACTTTAGCACATAAATGTAGAGACTGGCTCGAGTGAGGCAAAGCCTTGAAAGCATTTGTCAAACTCTGACTGACAACTGTCAATCTGCTTTGTGTAGTGCACAATGTCAAGTTGCGCACAAGCTTTCCGTTGCGTCTCCAGCTCTGATGCAAGGTTTTGGAAATTCCGCAAAATGTTGCATTTTTCATTTGAAAGCATTAACTAAGCTGATTATATTGACATGAGATCTACCGACACTACCTTTGTGATCGACCGGCCGATCACGATCGACATGTTGGGCAGCCCTGATCTAGACCAAAACACATCATCCAAAAGACATTTCAGCAATGTTTTCCTAACCTGATCAAAACTAAAACGCCTCAAAGTTGTCGCCAATCAATCAAGATCTTAAAATGTCAACTTTTATTAATAAAATAAATAGTTAAAGTAACAGGCTACATCATATGGTCTGGTCATTATATGGTATGACTGACCTGAAATGTCACCATACATATAAGAACAGTGCGACTTCATATGCATCACTTCATTTAAAGGTTGTTGCTTTTTTTTTTTTACATAACATTTTTATTTTCTTTAACTGTGATTTAACTTGGTCACCTTTAATTTCTCACCTTGCAATAGAAATGTGTGCCTGATAAAGACCCTGGTTCATCAGCAACAGCTTTGGCTACATCCCTATAAACCACCTACAAAATCAGAACTGACTGGTTGATAAGTTTTCCAAAACAGGATTCATTCTACAAAAATAATACCCATGTAACTGAAATGCTGTATAAATGACTGCAACTGTAACATTACTGTATCAATTGAGAGTTTGTTTTCATTGAGGCCTATCAAGAAACTGGGCACAAGCCCAGAGGCCTGAGAGGTCTGGAGGGCCGAGCTTCTGTTTGAAGTAACAGTTAATATTTGTTGTTTGGAGAAAAAAAAACAGATTACAGATGCAGAACCACAAACAGACTCAAAACAACCACACATCCATGGTGTTATGTTTGTTCTCCATTGTTGCTGAAACACTGAAATTTCCCCATCGAGGGATCAATAAAGTACTTAGCTACCTACCTAGAAGGGGCAGGGACACCTTTTATCTCTCTGTGCCCAGCGGCCCATTGGCTCATTCAGCATGAGCATAGTCAAAGCACACACTTTTCTTATCAACAAAGATTTTATTCATGTTTTAATCGGTTATTCTCATTATCATTAAGGCAACATATACAGCTACACAGAGAGGGCAGGGGCCTGAGAGGCCCAAAGGCGTCTCTTTCACAGCTTGGCTTTGTTCATGCGGCTCATCAGTTTCTCCAGTTTGATGGCGAGAGTCATGTCACCTTTGATCCGAAGCTTCCCCGACATGAAGGCCATGGTGGGCTTCAGCTTCCCTGAAATAGCATGTCATCAGTGAATGCATACAATCATAGCTATTACCATGGTAACAACAGACCAATGACCACATCGCTAAGGTAACATACAGCAACAGTGAGCTCAGTTTATTTCTTCATCTCTGTGTTTACAACCTGTTAACTGTTACCATGGTGACAGCTCACCTGAGAACATTTCGCTGAAGTCGCTGGAGTCCATCATCATGACAACATCGGCTTTTACAGGTGGCTGACCCCGCCCTGCACTGCCGGAGCCGCTCTTCAAGTCCAGAAACCAAACGCCCCCATGTTCTCCTTATATGGAAATAAAGTTATATTAATGCCACGCCCACCATGTCTCCTGAAAACGACGTGTGGACTCCAGACTGACTTGTTTTGTTACCTGACAGATCGAACTGATAAATTCCCTGTGTCGACTTAACGACGTCTGTGTTGATGACTCTTCTGATGACGTCAAAAGTGCTTTCTATTGGTCCAACAGAGGAGGGTGTGGCCGATGAGGAGGATGTTGGTTTGAAAGCCGGGGTTGCCCCTAACAACAAGGAGACAGATCAGGTCAGGCTGATGTTGATTAAAATATCATTAATAATTAATGTATTTATTATCCTACACTTTGAGTGGCTTCAGTTATCAAAGCTTCAGACTCAGCCCAACAATAATCCAACTTAATTAGTAGGGATGATATGTGTAATTATGTGCTGTACTATCAGCTATATCTGCAGTATCTGTAGTACTTACCGTGTTGTTCCATCTGTTGGACCAGTGTCTCTGGTTCTTCATCAAGGAAGAAGTCAGGCAGCAGGGGGTGGCCTGTCAACCAATCGGAGACCACCATGAAACCACATGACAGTGTATGGGAATGCCAGGCTACAACTACCAGTGCTAGGTTAGCATTAGCTCACCCGGTTGGACAGCATACTGATCAAAGTTGTGGACTCCCTGCTCTTTCAGGACATCCTCATCCACCAGAAAGTGACCTGTGTAGTCCACAGGTCGGGACAAGACAACGTAGGCAGCATCCGCTATGATGTCTGTTGTACGACACTGTTTAGCAACGCCCTCACCTCCTATCATGTCCATGGCCGCTGTCTGGATTGCTACGGCAACACCATACAGGTTAGAGCAGGATTTGCATGCTAATTTACAATGCAAGTCAAGCTAACACTTAGCCACTGACCAGTTTTGGGCCACAGGGCGTTGACAGCAATTTGACCTCTAAACTCTTCGGCCATTCCCAGGACACACATGGACATGCCATACTTTGCCATTGTGTATGCTAAGAAAAAAACAACAGAGGGATGTTATTACTGCACAGGTGTATGGAGGGACACCTGGTCAGATGGTTGCTATAGTTACCCGTATGGTTCTTGAACCAGATGGGGTTGAGGTTGAGGGGAGGTGACAAATTCAGGATGTGGGGACTGCGACTCTTCAGCAGGTGAGGGATGACCAGCTTAGACCTGAAACATACAGATGCTCCTTAACTAAAGCTCGTTAAGAATACTGTTAATGGTGGCTCATTAACTGAAGCTTTTTACCCGGGCCTCGTTAATGTGAAGTGACCCTAACCCAGTGAAGAGCAGCTTGTTAGAGCAACTTGTCAAGCAGCCACTTGCTAACATCAGTGTGATCACAACAGCTATTTAACAAGTGCTCGTTCACAGAGGCTCTTTAAACACATTAACAGCAGTTTGTGAGCAGAAGCTGATGTCTGAACGCTCTCTGGTCTCTGTTAATTTTTCTTCCTGGTTTCTTAAGAAGAGACAGAAGAATTGGCCTAAACGTTTTTCTCATACCTGTCCAGAACGTGGTTTACAGGGACATCCTGACTTGATGCTAATGAAGTTTAGCATGGGGATGCCCTGCAACCTCTGAGTCACAACACACCTGGTCTGTCTCAATCAGTTTTTATACCAGGTGTCTGGTTGCCTGAGGACATCCTGACCCGATACTAATATAATAATATGTAGTACAAATACATTTTTCAGTACTTAGTTGGACTAAAGCTCATTGTTCAGTATTTCACTGTGGTACTCAGCCCGAGTCATCAGTCAGCAAAATGAGTGTTCAGTAACGTGTACAGTACATGTTCAGGAGCACATATCAGATCCGTACGTCAGGTATGTTCCCCTCAGGTTGATTCCCAGCATCAGGTCCACCTTCTTCATCGGCGTCACCAGAGTCCCTGTCAGACTGATGGCACTGGCATTGTTTACCAGGATGTCAATGCCTGCAAATCAGATGCAAGCAATGGTATGATGTCACTGGCAGGGCTGTCCAAAGAGCAGTTTATCAAAGAGACATCACTACAGTACGACATGATCTCACGCTGGAATCTGTGACCTGCTCTGGCACAGTTATCGTCCAACACCTCAGATAGTCAAAACATATTCTTCTAAACCAGGAGTGGCCAGTCCCGGTCCTCGAGGGCAGTGGGTAGGACAGGGATAGTTGGAAGACCAGCAGGGACTGGGACAGGACTCAAGGACCAGGACTGGCCACTCCTGGTTTAAACTCATCGATAACTTCACTCAGTTGAGTTTTAGTTATAAATAATAGTAACAATAATACTAATAATAATAATAACACTTTATTTGTATAGCACTTTACAACTTGAAAGAGGCACAAAGTGCTTCACAGCAAAAACAACTTGAAAGGGGCACAAAGTGCTTCACAGCAAACCGTATGTACTCTTAGAAAAAAAGTGAAAAAACCTAAAATAGATTAAAACACACACTTTAAAACAGCGGGCAAACTGCATGTTGAAATATAAATAACATAGAACAAGTTAAAAATATCTCCGTGCAATGAGTTAAGTACCGAAGGCCTGCCTAAAGAGATGAGTTTTTAAAGTTACTTTGAATGAGGCCAGCTCAGTTATGGACCGTAATTCTGGTGGTAGAGAGTTCCAGAGCTTGGGGCCATACATGCCACATTTTTTGTATCAAGATCACGGGACAGTCAAAGAGAGATGCTGTGAAGAGCGTAGAGCTCTATGCGGGGCATAGACAGAAAAGAGATCTGACACATATGAGGGGGCATCGAGAGGAGCCGAGTCACAGCATTCTGGATGAGTTGTAGCTTCTGAAGAAGAGATTGAGAAATTTCGACATACAGGCCATTGCAGTAGTCAAGTTGTGAGGTAATAAAAGCATGAATAGCTTTTTCTAACTCAGCATGTGATAGGAAGGGTGTCACCTTCGTTAATATCCTCAGGTAAAAAAAGCTAGTTTTGACTATCGATCTGACCTGCTTATCGAAATTAAGGTTACCATCAAATATCACTCTGAGATTTCTAACAGTATCAGTGACTAAGGGAGCCGAAACCCCTAATTTGGATACAAGAGCAGCTGAAGACAATTTATTCAGTCTTGCTGTGATTTAAATAAAGGAAATTCTGTGATAGCCATTCTTTAACATTGCGAATACAGTTATGGAGGGGAGTAAGGGCCTTAGAGTCACACTGAATCAGTGGCATATAAATCTGGACATCATCTGCGTAAAAATGAACATTATGCCTTGATATAATTGAGCCGAGGGGTGACGCGTATAACGAAAAAACTAATGGGGCTAAAATCGAGCCTTGGGGAACATCTAAGGTAAAAGGGGCTGCCGTCGAGGAGAAATCGCCGATAGCAACAGAAAAGGTCCTATTGGTCAGGAAAGAGGTGAACCAATTTAGCACTGCGCCTTTCAGGCCAACACGGTTTTCCAAATAGGATAACAAAGTTGCATGATCAATGGTATCGAAGGCTGCCGAAAGATCTAGAAGTGCTAAGATAACAGGCCGCTTGGCATCAAGGGCCATGGTAATGTCAATGTGGACTCTTAGTAGCGCACATTTCTAAACTCCAAGTAAAACATGTGGTGTTACCTCCGAACTTGTCAACAGCTTTTTGAACAGCATCTCCAACCTGCTGCTCGTCGCGGATGTCGACAACACAGGCCAACGCTTTCCCACCTGCAGCCTCAACTACAACACATAAGCACAAAGAAAACACACAACAGAGAGGTTAACAGAGAGGTGCCCACACTCACCAATACAAGAACCCATAAAATGACTGTACTTTTTTAAAAGGTTTAGGAATGTTTTAGAGGTGAAAAGAGTGTCAGACAGGGTGATCAGTTTGAAGTTGGAAATTGAAGGGGTAATGTTGAATGTAGTCAGTGGTTATGCTCCACAAGTAGGGTGTGAGTTAGAAGAGAAGGAGAGATTCTGGAGTGAGTTAGATGAGGTGATGGAGAGTATTCCCAGAGGGGAGAGAGTGGTGACTGGGACAGACTTCAATGGGCACGTTGGTGAGGGGAACAAAGGTGATGAGGAGGTGATGGGCAGGTTTGGTGTTAAGGGAAGGAACCTAGAAGGACAGATGGTGGTGGACTTTGCTAAGAGGATGGAAATGGCTGTAGTTAACACCTATTTCCAGAAGAGGGAGGAACATAGGGCTACATGGGTGGAGGTAGGAGTATGCAGGTAGACTACATTCTATGTAGACGAGGCAACCTGAGAGAGATTAGTGACTGCAAAGTAG